CGGTGGGAGGGGTGCGGGGGGATTGTATATCAGGGAGGGAGTCTTTCTTTTACTTTTTTTTTTCTTTTACTTTTCAAAGAGGAGCAAACTGGGTGGGGGCTGGGCAGGGAAAGAAGTACAGCAATGAATGAATGGAAATCCAAAATCTCTGTAAATGTTCATTAAAATTGTAAAAATTACAAAAAAAAAAGAAAAAGAAATGGACATGTTATGGAGAGTTAAGACTATTTTACTCATATTTCACTCATTTTCCCCACTAACATATTTTTGAATCTAGGATCCCACCTTTATGGACTTGATTTTTTTTTAAAATTGAGATAAAAGTCACATAACATAAAATGATCTTTTTAAAAGTGTATGGGAAGTTGGAAATAGAAATACCGTTTGACCCATCAGTTCCACTGCTAGGAATATACCCTAAAGAAATCAGGAGCTCTGGTGGCCTAGTGGCAAGAAGCTGCACTGCAATCCCAGAAGTTCGCAGTTTGAAACCACCAGATGCTCTGATGGAAAAGGAGGGACAATCTCCTCCTGTATCATTCAGATCCGATTTGATGGTACACACACAGAGAATAATATTTTTTTTAAAAAAAGAAATCAGAGCTGCCACCCAAACAGACATATGCACATGCATTATTCACAACAACATGGAGATGGCAGCAACTCAAGTGCCCATTAACAATGAAGGGATAGAAAAACTATGGTGTATTCACACAATGGAATATTATATAGCACTGAAAAGCAAGTAACTCATAAAATCTTACACAACATGGGTGATTCTGGAGGACATTATGCTGAGTGAAATATCTCAGTCACAAAAGGACAAATACTGCATAACACCACTGTCACAAAAACAGGACTCACATGGGGGTTCTGCAGAAACAAAGAAAAGAGGGGATAAATAATTAACACTGCACTGGAACAGATGAAGGAAAGAACTGTTTAAAATGAATATATGGTGTTCGCTTTGGCAGCACATATACTAATAGAAATATATGATTAGGTAGTTATTTGTATGACAACAGTCTAGAATATGAGGTGCACAGCAAAGTGTATGAAGAGGAAGGGAGGAAATTTTGCAACAAGGAATGAGGGGGTTTTTTGGTGTCCAAATGTTTAAATAATAATTTCTTAATCTATCAGTCACACAGCATAAAATTCACTATCTCAATATGTACAATTGCATTTTTGTAATATTGACAAAACATACAATCATCACTGCTATTTAATTTCAGGAGATTCTTACTACAAAAAAACCCCACTCATTCCCATTAACAATGATTTTCTATTCTCCTAGCCTCTGTCAATCACTAACATACTTTCTGTCTGCATGGATTTGTCAATTCTAGAGATTTCATATTCACAGAGTATAGGCATTCTGTGACCTTTTGTAAGTTAACATGACATTTTTCAAAGTTTATTCATGTTTCTGGAATGAATCAGCACTTCATCCCTTTTTATAACCAAATAATATTCCGTTGCTTTTATATGCCATATTTTATAGCCTTTATTGCATTTAGTACACAGCAAAACATATACAAACACAGCGGTTTCTCCGTATGAACAGTCACGTTTGCTGGTCTTTGAGCTGTGCTTTCATTCTCTCTCCCCTCTGAGCTGTTCCACCTCCCTGCATACAAACTAGCTGCCCCTTAAAGTTCCCATCTTGTTTTCAAGGCTGCTGTTGTCAGTCAATTCACTTTGATCCCATGTGTTACTTGTTGTTAAGTGCTGTCTAGCTGTAGACGACTCACAGCGACCCTATGAACAAAAGACCTGAGCACTTGTATAACTATCATCGTTTCTCCAAGTGTATAGTTTCCAGAGGCAAGCTATTACAGAAGTGGATGCCACTCCTGCTTCCAGGCTTGTTTTTATCGGGGAGTTCCACCAAACACTGTCCACCGTGGGTGACCATTCTCACATTTGACACATCAATGTCACAGTGTTCAGCATCACAGCAACCACGAGTTACCTCTGTACAGCAAGTGGACAGTCCAGTGCTATACCACCTAGAAGAATGTTTGATCAAATACAATTAAAACCAGGCCTGAGGACTGCAGATTAAAATCATCCACTTTTGGTTTGGTAGCATCACTTTCTATCCACTAGGCCAACAGAGCTCTCTTCCTGTTGTTGCTGTTATTGTTTTTGTTGTTGTTGTTGTTAAGTGCCATGTAGAGAGATGGCAAAAGTGCTTTAGGCACCAAGCGGACATCCCTCATTGCCTAAGTTACTGAGTTACTGTGTGTGGCATTTTAAGGAGACTTCAGGGAGTTTTAGTTTAAGATTCAGAGGTCCTCTCAGGCCACAGTTCATCTGTCACAAATTCATCTGTGACTCCAGAGAATCTGGAATGGATTCCTGTGAAGATTTCCAACTTTCTGATGATCGACACGTGTGTGTGGGCCCGTGGTCTGTACCCCTGCCAGGTGTCGGGACACGGAATGAGATAGGATCAAGCCTCCCGGAGGCACGGACATTCCCACCAAGCTCACCCTCTTTGTTTGGCATCGCTAGGCTCTGGTTCACAGCGGGTATCCACGTCCATGTAGGAAGGTCAGCGCGAAGAAGTCTATCATGGAGGAAGTAAACCCACAACGCCCCTCAGAAGTGAGGATGGTGGGAGCTTGTTTCACGTGCTTCTAGCACGTTCCCGGGGCCCGTCTGTCCCTGGAGAAGGGACATGCTTGGTCAGGCAGAGGGTCAGGGATGAAGGAGGAAGGCCTGGATGAGAGGCGTGTACACGGTGGCGTGAGGATGGTTACGATGGCTGTGCGCTGGGCTGAGTCTCGCTCTGCTCTCCACGGCGACGCTAACAGCTGGGAACCGAGTTGATGACACCGAAGAACACAGCCCTCCAAGCCTGGGCCCCTGGAGCCACACGGGTCAGCAGGACACAGGGCGCTGGGACAAGAACAAACCTTAGGCTTAAGACAGAGGGAACATGAGTCTCTCTGGGGAAGATTCTGGAGATGAGGGCCATCCCAGTCAGCCTGCGAGGGGTGAACGGTGGGAGAGAGAGCCGGGTCTCACTCAGGAGTACAGTGGTCTGGGTAGGCGCTGCGCTGCTGGCCATTGTGAGGTGGTTTCTGCCCACAGCAACCCTGATCTCCCGGGCTGTGTGTTTGTGGGAGAACCTCTCTGGATCTTAAATATCAAATGTCCAGTGGGACAGCCACCAGAGCCAACGCCCTCGCGTCCACGCTGACCCGGGTGACCCTGTGAGACACAACACAGGGGCTCGTCGCATTTCCAAGCCCCAGGCCCTTCAGGAAGCAGCTGCCCCCTGCTTTTCCTCGGAACAGCTGCTGACCTCTGACCGCTGGCCTCTACGTGCAGAAGTCAGGCTGGCTGGAAAGTGTGCATGTAACTGAGGTCCAAAAAAGATGCGTGAGCGCCCTGTGTCCTGCAGGAAGGAGGACGGCGGGATGCACATGGGCGGAGAGGTGTCGGATCCTTCAAGTTTGGCCTTTCGACCCTGGCCTGGGCCTTGGGGCTGAGGAGTGGCCCAAACAGAATGCATGACAACCTTCCACGTCCCCCCAACCCCCGCCTCGATCTGAGACGCAGCTCTGGGGGAAAGCTTTCTCTTTCCAAAGATCCACTCAGGACGGAGCGAAGAGGAAGCAGCTCGGAGGAAGGATGGACTTGAACGGCGGGTCTGAGGGAGGAGGAGTGAGATGCCCAGGCTCCTGGGTCCTGGGCTCCAGAAGGAGAATTATGCACCAGCGTCCAGCACCTAGGAGGGTGAGGTCCGATGGGCCCCCTCGCAGCAGCTGTTTCTCTTCTCCAGGTGGCCATGGACGTGGGGCGGGGCCACCTGCCTGGTCACCTGGCTCGGCCCCCTTCTCATGGTGCTTCTCCTTCTGTCTCCTCCCTCCCGCCGCTTCCACTGCCCTCTTCATCTGTCCACTCCTCCAAGCTCGAGCCTCCCTCTTCCTCATCCCCTTCCTCACTGGACAGTGGCCCCAGGGCCCCAGGCTCCTCTCTGTTCCCCTCCAGCCCCCAGTTGTCCCCCAGGAAGTCTAAGACAGCCAGCGGGGGGCTCCTTGTCTCGGGGTCCAGGTCCAGGAGTCCTTGCAGCAACAGCAGAGCCGGGGGCGCAAACTGGTCCCAGGGCGGTGGAGGCCGAGGCGGCTGGGGCCTGGTGGTCACCCAGCCAGCGAAGGCCTCAAACTCAGGGTCGGGAGCCAACGCTACATCCCACGGGAAGCCGGCCGTGGCCGCACAGAAGAGCAGCACCCCCAGCCCCCAGGAGTCCAGAGACGGCCGCAGGGGCAGGGTGTCGGGGGGCAGGAGAAGGCAGAGCTCGGGAGGCGCCGAGGGCAGCGGGCCTGGCGGGGCAGGGGCTGGGCTGCCCTCCGGCCGGGTCAGACCCAAGTCGCCCAGGGCCACGCGGCTGCACAGGGGATCAAAGACCAGCACATTGTCTGGCTTGACATCTGCGTGGACAAGGCCCCGGCCGTGGAGGAAGTCCAGGGCTGCGGCCAGCTGGGCTACCACCCGCTTCACCAGCAGTTCTGGGAGGCCCTGGAGGCAGAGAGAAGGGGAAGGTCAGGGGCCTCCAGATGCCTTCAATGGGCATCATGACCTCCTTTGGGGCCCTGGTGGTGTAGGTGGTTGGGTGTTGAGCTGTTAATGGAAAGGTTGGCAGTTCAAAGGCATCAGCCACTGCTCCGAGGGAGAGAGAGGAGACACTATCCTCCGACCAGGATGTCTAGTCTGTGATCTCAATGGAGGGCCTCCATGAGGCCAGCAACTCAATGCCAGGGAAGGGTTAAAGACGTTCTGGACTTTCAGGCCCAGTGGCTGTGGCTTCTGGAGCTCAAGAAGCCAGAACTCTATATCCGTAGCTACCATTATAAACCCCAAGACTTTACCGTCATCCAAAGTGGCAACCTGTGGTCATTTCTATACGGTCAGAGGCCAACCTGCAGATGCCTGCCCAGCCGGCCTCCACGAGATTCCTTCTACTTCCTTCAACACGCTCCTAATCTGAACATTCAAACCACTTCTCATATCTTCTGTTTCCTCATAAGTAACAGGCCAGACCTTCTCCAGTGGGCCCACACTTAACCCCATTCGTAACCTTGGTCTGAGTCTCATTCGTATTTAGGTCCTGTCTCTAACTCCACCCTGTTCCGAAGTCTCCTTGCTTTAGGAGATGGTCAGTCATCAGCTGATTGATTGACCTATCCATCTACTATGGAGCCAGCCAGCCACCTGACAGGCTTCTCACCAATACAAGCAGTATTCATTTGATCAATAGTCAGCGATCCATTGACTGACACAATTGTTTAGTGTCTAGTACCCACCCATTCATTGTTCCCGATTTCCCCAACCCATCCATTCTTGTCTTCACACTCATTTATTCACCCTCCTATTTAGCCACCATCCTCCACTCAGCGTTCTTTCCTTTCACTCATCTTGCCTTCCATCTGTTCTTCCCTCTATCATCCTCTCATCCGTCCTTCCATTCCATCTTCACTCATCCATCCATCTTTCCACCCACTTTTTCATTCTACCTTCCATCCACCCACACATCCACCATCTATCCACCCATCCAACCACCCATTCATCCTTCTACCCATCCACCCATCCTTCATCCATCCATCCATCCATCCATCCATCCATCCATCCATCCATCCCACCCCCTATTCATCCTTGTTTCTATCGATCTATCCTCCTTTCACTCATAAGTCCATAAATCCTTCCATACCTCACTTCTTCCTTCAACCCATTCATCCATCCACTCATCATTCTTTGCACCCACCCTGCCTTCCATTTAACCCCTAATTCTATCTCAAATCCAAAATCCATCCTTAAAGATGGCACACCTCATCTTCAAACCCACCTCCAACTAGAATCTCAGCAATTCACTCCTGACTGTCTCCAACTCATTCATTTTCTGTCTGCAACCATTTCTATCTTCTGCTACATCTTCATTCCAAATTCTTCTTTATCTATTATCCACTTATACTCAACTCCAAACACACCTCATCCAACTCCATCTCCACTTCCAGGGTCAACGAAAACCCCTACTCTGTCTGCATTCCCAATCCCAATCCCACTCTCATTCCTTCGTTAGACTTAATCCATCCTCAACCTCAAAGACTTCCTTCCTGTCCTGCAATGGGATTTGTGTTGGGTCAAGGGGATGGATTAGAAGCATAGAATTAAATTCTTTAAAATTAGAAATTAGAACAATAGAGGACTCAGCAGATTGGGCATGGGTCAGAACTGGAGACAGAAATTTTGGGATTGGAAGAAAACGTGAACCAATGAATTAAAAAAAAATAAATGTACTTTAAAAGAAGAATTTGGGGATTGCTAATTTTTGTCCCCACTCCCACTCCCTTTGGGATAAAATTTTTTGGGACAAAGTTGAAACTGGAATTACCAGCTTCACCCTTCGTCTCCCACCTGGCTTACCCTCTCCTGAAGCATTCCGCTCAGGTCTCCACACGGTGCATACTCCTGGGCAAAGGCAAAATACCGGGAGGTCTGCAGGGGGTTCTCCAGGGTCTGGAGCAGGCCCGGGTGTGAAGAGACACAGCGGCCCACGCAGAATTCCCTCAGGAACGTGGTTCTCAACACGGAGTCCCGACGCAGGAGCTTCAGAGCCACCACAGGACCTGCCAAGGAGCCACAGTGAGCAGCACTGTCTGGACACTGGTCACCGGCATCTTCAACCTGAGTCCTGGGTTTCTCATGTGTGAGAGAGAGCAGGACACAGGGTTAGGACGAAGGGACCAGCTTGGAGTTGGGGGATGTGGCTTGGAGCTCCATGGCTTCTCCGTGGTCCCCCTTTCTCCACCTGTGAACTAGGAGCTGGGGAAACTCTCCCTTCTGTGTGGCTTTGCCCAGCAGCTCTGTCCCCTCTGAGGTCCAGGTCTTGCTGAGTTCTCAGGGAGTCCCCCCCATCCCATCCTGTGGGTTCCAGACTCCACAGCTGAGTGTGTTTATGTGCCCCCCCATCCTGTCTCCCCTTCCCCTCCCGTCTATCTGTCTGTCCCTTCCCCAGCTCTGTGGTCTTAGCTTGCTCTTCACATCTCTGTATGTAATGAGACATGGTGACTTGAGTCCCAACTCAAACTCTGCTCCTGCCTGGCTGTGTGACTTCACTCAGGCCAGTTCCTGGCCTTCCCCAGATGGACTCCCTTTCTCAGAAGACCCTCAAACCCTTTAACTTTCCATTGAGGAGAATCCCCAGGTATGACTCCCATCTCGGTGGTTTGAGAACCGCTATCACGGGGACCCTGGGAGTCTACCCTTGGGTGGCCCAACTCACCCCCTTGGCGAGGCCGGGCGAGGAGCACGCGGCCGTAGGAGCCGGAGCCCAGCTTGCGGATGAGGCAGAACTGGACGCGGAGACTCCTCAGCGGGGTCACCCTGGCCGCCGTCAGCTCCACCAGCCGCTGGAGGGTGGTGGCTGTGTCCTCCTGTGGATGGGGATACAGGCAAGGAGGGGTGAATCTGAGGCCTTGTGAGAGCAGGGAGAGGGGGAGCAAGGGGAGGGGGTCCAGCTCAGTGCTGATGTAGGGGAACAGGGGTCATTGTCTGGAGAGGCGATGAGTCACAGTGACTCACCCGGCCTCAAGGACACCTGTTTCCGTGTCCTGGCGAGGCTAAGGGTGATTGTCTCTGAGAATCTCCTGCTCCCATCTTTGGGCGCCAATCAGAGCCCCCAACCTTCACTGAGACAATGCCTTTGCTCTCACAACCCTCCAGGCGTGCTGCCCTCCTGTGTCCCCCTACTTCTGCCTCTCGTTCTCTTTCTGGTTGCCTTTCTCTGGGGCTCTCTGCTTTGCTCCATCCTTCAGGATCTGCAGAATGGCGTCTCCCCTGTCTCCCCTCCGTCTCCCCATCTATGGGGCTCCCTCTCTGTTCCTCTCTCTTCTTCTCATGTCCTCTGTCTCTCACCTGTGCATCCCCATCCTCGGGGGGCTCGGGGTCCCTGAGCTCCATCGAGGTCGCCTGGACGCCCTTTGCTAGGGTACCCTTAAAAAGCAAGCAGCCTGACCCTGGGGCCCTCACTCGGAGAACCAAGGCCTAGGAGTCCCAGGGGAAGTCCGCCTCGGTCTCACTCTGGGCTCTCAAAGTCAGCCCAGCGCAACCCTCTCCAGACTCCTCTCTCTGCACCCGACTCTTCTATCTGTCACTTCTGTCACCTCTGTGTCTCTACGTGTTTATTTCTTTCACTCCCTCTCACCCTCCCTCCCCTTTGCTCTAATCTCTGTCTGTGTTTTGGTCTTTCTTTTCTGTCTCTGGCCCCTCTCTCTCCGGGTCTCTGTCCCCCCTATTTCTGGGTCTCTGCCCCCTCTATCTCTGAATCTTTGTACCCTCTCTATCTCTGGATCTCTGTACCCTCTGTCTCTGGGTCTCTGTCCCCTTCTCTCTAGATCTCTGGTCCTCTATTTCCGGGTCTCCGTCTCCCTCTCTCTGGGTCTCTGTCCCCCTCTCTCTGGGTCTCTGTCCCCTCTTCCTGTTTGTCTCTGCCCCCCCCTCTGAGTCTCTGACCCCTCTCTCTCTGGGTCTCTGCACACCCCCCCCCACCCCGGTCTCTGTCCCTTTCTCTCTGGATCTCTGTCCTCTTCTCTCTCTGGGTCTCTGTCCCCCACCTTCTGGGTGTCTGTCCCCCTCTCTCTCTGGGTCTCTGTGTCCCCCTATTTCTGGGTCTCTGTGCCCCCTTATTTCTGGGTCTCCATCCCCCCTTCTTTCTATGTCTCTGTCCCCCTCTCTCTCTGGATCTCTGTCCCCTTCTCTCTCTGGGTCTCTGTCTCCCTCTCTCTGTGAGTCTGTCACTCACTCCTTGGTCCCTGTGTCTGTCCTTGTCTGTTTTTCTTTCTCTCCCTCAATCTCTGTCCTCACCCCAGCCTCACTGTCTCCGCCTAGCCCAGCTCTAGCTCTGAATCTTGGGGAGTCCTCCCTGTCTTGTTCTGACGGTTCCAGGCTTCACACCGCCTGGTCATTGAGTGAATCTATGAGGCCCCCTAGGCTGGCTGCTTCCTGTCCCCTGTCCCCTGTGCTCTGTCTGTCTGTCCCCTCCAGCTCTGTGGCCCTGTCAGCTTGCTCTTGTGTCTGTGTCCCTCCTCCTTCTTTGTTCTTCACCGTCTCCGAAGCCTTTGTCACGCCCTTTCTCTGGGTGTGTGACAGCTCAGACACAGAGACACCCTGCCCCCCACCCGCCTCACCTCCCCGCCCTGGCCCCCCCTCCCCCTTCCAAACTTAGACCAGCGTAGACTCCGGGCTCGGGGCCCAGGACAGTGGGGACAAAACGTATTGTGAACCCCCAGGGGACAGGCCACAGGGAAGTGGAGAAGGTGGGCAGACCCTCACACCCCTCACTGCCTCAGAGAGACCAGAGTCCATCCAGGCAATGGTCTTTCTCCTGAGCTGAGAGCCCCAGAATCAGGGTGACCTCCCCCAAAGCCTCCTCCCTCAGACCCAGACTCCTCTTCCCTTAGATCCAGGAGTCCTGATACCCAGTTATTCCTTCTCAGACTCACGAGTCCTGAACCCAGCTTTCTTCCCTCAGACCAGGATCCTGACCCCTTAGACCCAGCAGTCCTGAATCCTAGGCCCTCCTCCGTCAGACCCTGAAGTCCTGACCCCCAATCCCTCCTAACTCAGATCAGGAATCCTGAGTCCCCAGCTCCTCTTCCCTCAGACCGAGGAGTCATGACGCCCCAGGCCCTCCTCACTCAGACCCAGAAGTCCTAACCTTCAACCTCCTCCTTCATGCCCAGGCTTCCTGACCCCAGCCTCCTTCCTCAGATCAGGAGCTAAGACAGCAGAGGGACCCCATGAGGTAGGCGTTTGCATCTTCTCAGCACCTGCCAGGAACCCCTGCAGGGATTTTACAGGGATCAGCCAACCAAAGAGCCACAGTTTATCCCCAGTTTATGGAGCAGGAAACTGAGGTTCCGAGGGGCACGTGACCTTGCACACGGCTGGCCCAGGAGGTGACCACGGAGCCAGGGCCAGCTGTGAGTCACTCCTGACGCCTGTTCCCGGGCTCCCACTACTACTACAACCGCTGCTATTAATAAAAAGCGGCGACGGCAGCTTCAGCAGGATGCTAACCTGTCCAGAGAGGCAGCCGTCCCGGGGCTGGGCGGAGCCGGGGGACAGGCCACGGCCACGGCTTCGCGACTATTTTGAGGTCTGGTTATGAAAGGAGAGGAACTCACCAAAGTAGGAGGAACCAGGCTGCACTAGAAAGGGCTCTGCTGGCCACCTGGCCACACTCGCTACTATTTGTAATCTTCTCAAATTTAGGTTACAACGTAACAAAAGCATTTACTGTGCACAGAATAGACAGAACAAGGCTGCCAGATTGGCTCTTCCTTCCAGTTGAAGCAGGAGGTGTTTTAAATCAAGTTACAATGTATTGAAATGTCTTGCCTGTGAATGAAGTGTAGGCTTAAGTGGTAACATTTTGCCACATCTGCTTTCTCTTTGTGTCCTTTCCTTGTTATTAGTTCATTTGAGGGCACTAATTTACTTTTAAAACACTAGAAGTAAATGACAACATATTGAAATCCTTTGCAGTGAATTATTCACCTTCCTCCCACTTTCCTGAGTTAAATTCATTAAATGCTAACATGTTGCCACATTTATTTCTTCTCCTTGGGGCTTTTGTTTGTTTATTTGTTTTGTGCTTGTTTAGTTTCGTTAGGCACCAAATATTTAGAACAAATAACAGCTCCGTTGAGGTCATTTTGAGTGAATTCTCTAGATTTAACAAGTGTCAAGACATTGTCATTTTTCAATATCAATTTGTTTTTTGGTGCCATGACTTGGATATGAACCAAGGTTGCTGCAGACACAACGATCCTTTATTTTTTTTTCTTTTAAGAGGCACAAAGTCTTTTTGCACAAACTTCAATTTTAAAAGTAGTATTGGGTAATTTGTCTAGATTTAACACATATCAACATTTTGTCATTGTTTTTCTTGTGAGGTAAGAAATATTCCTGAGCAAATGACATTGTTTTAGGGAACTCTGGTGGCCTCATTCGGAGGGCTTTCATTTTTCGGAAATCATTTTGAGTGCATTGTCTAGCTACGACAAATGCTAACTTTCTTTCTATATTCCTTTATATCAGACGTGATGAGGACGGCACAGGATAAGACAAGGTTCAGATCTGTTGTTTAAAGGGCTGCTATGAGTTGAGTCACTTCAGTGGCATCAAACAACAACACAATGCTGTGAAATCATTTGCAGTGAGTTATCTAGTTTAAACTAATGCCAAGATCTTGCAAGGTTTCTCTCTCTCTCTCTCTCTCTCTCTCTCTCTCTCTCTCTCTTTCCTTCAGCACAAAGCCTTTCTTTAATTTACAATAAATTAAAACATTCTGAAATCTTCTGTAACAGAGTGATAGCATATCCAGCATTTGCTTTAAAACATTCCTGCGAAAGAAGAGAGAGATTTAAAAAAAAAAAACAAGAACAGCAGAGATACTGCTCACTGCAGACAAGGAGTTCCCTTCAGTCTTCTATTTCTGGTTAAGCTTGAAAAGTATCCCTCATAAAAAGGCTAAAAGTTACCAACTACAGACACCACCATAAATTTTTGCCTGAACCCTTTGGCCTCTGTCTCTGAAAAAAAAAAAGAAGAAGAAGAAAAGTAGAAGAACTTTTGTTTCATATACTTCAGACAATGAATTTGTTTCTAGCGAAGGTTTACTCATCGCCCTAGCTTTCCACACAGTCATTCATTCTTGTCTTATCACATTAACTCTCACTGATTGGTTAATGTCATTCATTACTACCTCCGAGCGGCCCCTTACTGTGTGTTGCTTTCAGACAAGCCAGGAAACGTTTAATGGTGACACTGTTACACATCTCGCGGCTTCTGCATTCCTGCTAATTCCTTGAAATTAACTAAAGCTGTTGCTGTTGATAGTTGTTGTCGAGTTGGCTAAGATTTGTGATGATGTTGTTTGTGCAAAGTACGGATGTTCTGTGGGGCTTTCAAGGCTGTTAGCCAGGTCTCTCTTCTGTGGCTCTCCTCTCCTCTCCTCTCCTCTCCTCTCCTCTCCTCTCTTCAAACACCCAACCTCTAGGCTTGTAGCTCACCACATAACTACGCACACACCCACATCCCACTGAAGACGATTGGTCCCAACCCTGAAGACGCAGCAGAACTGTCCTATTTGGTTCCTGTAAAGTCTTTACAGAAACTCCCCTTCCTTCCACAGAGCGACTGTCTGCTTCCATGGGTTGAAAGTCCCCGTGAAAGGGAGGGTCATGCAATGCTTGAAAGAACCACAAAGTACTTGAGAAGCAGAACTTGGGGTGGAGCTCAAGGACACCAGGCTGGGTAAGATAAAGCAAAGAACAGCTGTTGTGTAAGAGTCAACACATTGCTGGAGTGCTGGAGCCAACTCCCGGCTGACCCCCTGGCCAGGTCTCCAAGGCATGGGAGGAGGTGACCCGTGTTTGTCCCTCGAAGATATTGGTGAACTCGAACTGTTGAAGGGGCACACAGCCTTGGAGTTGGCGCTATAAATGTCTGCAGACCATGCCACAGGTGCCCTTTTGTAAAACAACAACACAGATGACAGACTGCTCTGAAGTCAACACTGGATCCGCATTGACGCTCCAGCGGGCTTTCAGAGGCAGGGACTCACAGACGGAGGGAGAGCCCCCTCTCCTTCCATAGCCTGTAGATTCCTAGACCTCTATAGACCCGCCCTGTACAGATGACCCCAAGCCCCCTCATGTCGAAGACCCCCTAAGCCTCCTTATGTCTAAGACGACATCTATAAAGAGCAAACAAAGGCTTACACACAGATAAAACCATTGCTGAATGGCTACCAAGGATGGGAAAGGAGGAATAGACATCAGTAAGTGGGGGAGAGGAAGGAAAATGAATCCATAAATAACCAAAGACATTTGTTGGGAGCTCTGGTGGCCTGTTGGCAAAAAGCTGCACTGCAATCCCAGAGGTAGGCGGTTTGA